CTGGTCAGGACGTCAATGGAAGCTAGAATTAATTATGTCACTTTTTATTTATTTATTTATTCAGTGTGCTAATTCCCTATTTGCATACATGTTCTTGGCTGTTTTATCTCTTGATTATGCCTTTTTTCCTCTAGAATTTTGTTTTATTACGTCAAAGATATTCGTGTCACGAAGTCCATTAGAACTGGCAAATACTGATCATGTTTTATGGTTTCAGAGGTAATTTATAGTATTTAGCTTTAAAATGTTACACTTTGAAAATTTATACTCTATATCAATTGTAAGTCATTAATGTTGTTAATTTCACTGATGTTCTTTTCACAGTTTAAGAAAAGTACAAAATAATTGCATCGACAAAAAATTTTTTTTGGAGATTACACCCTTTTTTTTCAAAATAATATTCAGCTTGAGAAAATTTATATAAGAATCAACTTGTTATCGGACGAATTAAATGACATCATTGCTTCTCAAATCTGCGCAAAATCGTCAATTATATTCGTGTAAATTATCTGATATTCATTTCTTCCGAATTAACCTAAATGTGACCGCTTCCATTCCTAATGCTCTCTTCATCAACTATTTGTCTACCACTTTACATTTACATCATCATTGTTTTAGTTGCTATTAAAAGGTGTAGACATTTCCAGTCTATTTGACAAATGACCATAATTTAAGGCTTCATAATACTTAAATTTTCCGTCATCTTGCTATTATACACAAGTGTTTCATTTTTGTATTTCCAGTGCTTCATTCTTACTTTATTATTTACCAAATTTTTAATTTTCTTACTGTGTTAATACGTGTTCACTTCTCTTGACCGTTGTCATGCCTTCAATTTGCCCCGTACGTTTTCATTCTATTTAATATTTTACAGAATTCTAGAAATTATAGAATGGTTCCATTTTTCATATTATATTCAATGTTCTCAGTCCTGATACTATTTTTTCTTTTCTTGGTATATTATCATAATTTCAGTCCTCTTCATATTTTGGCATGTTACTTCTTTTCTTGGTGTATTATCATAATATCAGCCCTCTTCATATTTTGCCATGTTTCTTCTTTTCTGTGTGTATTATCATAATATCAGCCCTCTTCATATTTTGCCATGTTTCTTCTTTTCTTGGTGTATTATCATAATTTCAGCCCTCTTCATATTTTGCCATGTTTCTTCTTTTCTTGGTGTATTATCATAATTTCAGCCCTCTTCATATTTTGGCATGTTACTTCTTTTCTTGGTGTATTATCATAATTTCAGCCCTCTTCATATTTTGGCATGTTACTTCTTTTCTTGGTGTATTATCATAATTTCAGCCCTCTTCATATTTTGGCATGTTACTTCTTTTCTTGGTGTATTATCATAATTTCGGCCCTCTTCATATTTTGGCATGTTACTTCTTTTCTTGGTGTATTATCATAATTTCAGCCCTCTTCATATTTTGCCATGTTTCTTCTTTTCTTGGTGTATTATCATAATTTCAGCCCTCTTCATATTTTGCCATGTTTCTTCTTTTCTTGGTGTATTATCATAATTTCAGCCCTCTTCATATTTTGGCATGTTTCTTCTTTTCTTGTGTATTATCATAATTTCAGCCCTCTTCATATTTTGCCATGTTTCTTCTTTTCTTGGTGTATTATCATAATTTCAGCCCTCTTCATATTTTGCCATGTTTCTTCTTTTCTGTGTGTATTATCATAATTTCAGCCCTCTTCATATTTTGCCATGTTTCTTCGTTTCTTGGTGTATTATCATAATTTCAGCACTCTTCATATTTTGCCATCTTTTTTCTTGGTGTATTATCATAATTTCAGCCCTCTTCATATTTTGGCATGTTACTTCTTTTCTTGGTGTATTATCATAATTTCAGCCCTCTTCATATTTTGCCATGTTTCTTCTTTTTCTTGGTGTATTATCATAATTTCAGCCCTCTTCATATTTCGGCATGTTTCTTCTTTTCTTGGAGTATTATCATAATTTCAGCCCTCTTCATATTTTGCCATTTTTCTTCTTTTCTTGGTGTATTATCATAATTTCAGCCCTCTTCATATTTTGCCATGCTTCTTCTTTTCTTGGTGTATTATCATAATTTCAGCCCTCTTCATATTTTGCCATGTTTCTTCTTTTCTTGTGTATTATCATAATTTCAGCCCTCTTCATATTTTGCCATGTTTCTTCTTTTCTTGGTGTATTATCATAATTTCAGCACTCTTCATATTTTGCCATATTTCTCCTTTCTTTGTGTATTATCATAATTTTAGCCCTCTTCATATTTTGGCATGTTACTTCTTTTCTTGGTGTATTATCATAATTTCGGCCCTCTTCATATTTTGGCATGTTACTTCTTTTCTTGGTGTATTATCATAATTTCGGCCCTCTTCATATTTTGACATGTTACTTCTTTTCTTGGTGTATTATCATAATTTCAGCCCTCTTCATATTTTGCCATGTTTCTTCTTTTCTGTGTGTATTATCATAATTTCAGCCCTCTTTATATTTTGCCATGTTTCTTCTTTTCTTGGTGTATTATCATAATTTCAGCACTCTTCATATTTTGCCATATTTCTTCTTTTCTTGGTGTATTATCATAATTTCAGCCCTCTTCATATTTTGCCATGTTTCTTCTTTTCTTGGTGTATTATCATAATTTCAGCACTCTTCATATTTTTTGCCATATTTCTTCTTTTCTTGGTGTATTATCATAATTTCAGCCCTCTTCATATTTTGCCATGTTTCTTCTTTTCTTGGTGTATTATCATAATTTCAGCCCTTTTCATATTTTGCCATGTTTCTTCTTTTCTTGGTGTATTATCATAATTTCAGCACTCTTCATATTTTGCCATATTTCTTCTTGGTGTATTATCATAATTTCAGCCCTCTTCATATTTTGCCATGTTTCTTGTTTTCTTGGTGTATTATCATAATTTCAGCACTCTTCATATTTTGCCATATTCCTTCTTTTCTTGGTGTATTATCATAATTTCAGCCCTCTTCATATTTTGCCATGTTTCTTCTTTTCTTGGTGTATTATCATAATTTCAGCCCTCTTCATATTTTGCCATGTTTCTTCTTTTCTTGGTGTATTATCATAATTTCAGCACTCTTCATATTTTGCCATATTTCTTCTTTTCTTGGTGTATTATCATAATTTCAGCCCTCTTCATATTTTGCCATATTTCTTCTTTTCTTGGTGTATTATCATAATTTCAGCCCACTTCATATTTTACCATGTTTCTTCTTTTCTTGGTGTATTATCATAATTCCAGCCCGCTTCATATTTTACCATGTTTCTTCTTTTCTATGTATATTATCATAATTTCAGCCCTCTTCATATTTTACCATGTTTCTTCTTTTCTTGGTGTATTATCATAATTTCAGCCCACTTCATATTTTACCATGTTTCTTCTTTTCTTGGTGTATTATCATAATTTCAGCCCTCTTCATATTTTGCCATGCTTCTTCTTTTCTTGGTGTATTATCATAATTTCAGCCCTCTTCATATTTTGCCATGTTTCTTCTTTTCTGTGTGTATTATCATAATTTCGGCCCTCTTCATATTTTGCCATGTTTCTTCTTTTCTTGGTGTATTATCAAAATTTCGGCCCTCTTCATATTTTACCATGTTTCTTCTTTTCTTGGTGTATTATCATAATTTCAGCCCTCTTCATATTTTGGCATGTTACTTCTTTTCTTGGTGTATTATCATAATTTCGACCCTCTTCATATTTTGGCATGTTACTTCTTTTCTTGGTGTATTATCATAATTTCAGCCCTCTTCATATTTTGCCATGTTTCTTCTTTTCTTGGTGTATTATCATAATTCCAGCACGCTTTATATTTTACCATGTTTCTTCTTTTCTATGTATATTATCATAATTTCAGCCCTCTTCATATTTGACCATGTTTCTTCTTTTCTTGGTGTATTATCATAACTTCAGCCCTCTTCATATTTTGCCATTTTTCTCCTTTTCTTGGTGTATTATCATAATTTCAGCCTTCTTCATATTTTGCCATGTTTTCAGTCTTCTTGCAATTGTTGCGAGTTTTCATTCATTAATGTATTTGATTATGTTGTCAGTCGTCTTGTAATCGTAAATTTACTATGATTTCTGTCGTCAATGTATCTTCCATGTTTTCCTGTTTTGGGTATTTTACAATAATCTTCTAACAGCCTTCTGATTTGTTGATTTTTAATATTGCACTATGCACTAATTTGCACTCTGCTGTCTGTTGGAAAGACTCGAAAACGAATTCTGAAAGGATTCTTCTGACGTTCCTATTTTTTTTTTCTGTAATGCATAGATTTGGTCAATGTGACATGCACACTGTTCTTAACATTTAGAGAATAGTTTCAAGCTTCTCCTAATATTTTCTGTTTTGATATTCCATTGAATGTATTTCGCTCAAATATCAACAAATGTGATAAATACATAGAAATTATAACGATCATTAAATCTGCTTTATACTTGTAATGATACACAAAAAGAGATATTCAATTACTAGAGAAAGCAAATATTCCTTTTCAAAGGAAAATAAAATAATTAGATTCTTCATTGAAGCCAGTGGAAATCAAACAAACTAAATCCCTTCATTAGTATCTCAATGAAGTCGTAATATTCAAAGCTGATATTTGAAACAAATGTTGCATATGAGAAAACTTCTCTTTCATTCTATAATTTGTTATTGATTAAAATGAATTTCGACTTCATTTATCAAATAAAATGTCCTTTTCTATTCTGATAAAATGATTACTTTTACGTGTATATACGTGTATTCTTTGTGTACAGATAATTCTGCTTTTAGGCTTTTTGCTCTTATTCATTCATGACCTTATTTTCTAATATATTGAGGCTTTCTCTCGAGAGAGACATTACGTTAGCCACTGAAAAATCGAATAGAAAATTGTTTAGCCGCCATTTTTGTTATTCATTTGCTTCAGCTTATTTTTTATCCTGTGTCCTTTTTACAGTTCGACCATCTGAGATCAAGTGATAACCTGATCTCAATGGGCGAATTCAATATACTAGTCAATCCAGGGTCTTTTCCGTACACCACCCACCGTGTCTATCTATTGAATTCTATCTCCCCCAGAATCCGTTTTAATCTAGTTTTTTCTCAATTATCTACAATCCATGTCCATTCAGATTCGTCTCTCTATTGCAGCAAGCCTTTCAATCCAGTATCTTTCCGATAATAAAGAAATCATGCAAATCCAGTGTCTTCCCAATAGAAACCATATCATTCCAGTGTTTTTTCAGTACATCAGTGTCTGTGCCAATCCAGTTTTCAGTTCTCCAGCATCCATAACAATGACATTCCTTGCCAATCCTACAAGTACTCTTAATCCAGGTTTATCTTTATATTCGAACCTCAGTTTCAATTCAGTGTTTTGTTTTTCAAATCTCTATCATCTATGTCAATCCAGCGTATTCTATACCCTGTCAATTCAATCAATGTTTTTCTCATTCCTTCAGTATCCTTATCAATATATCAGCATCCATTCAAATACCGCGTGTTTTCTGACTGTACCAACATCTGTGGTAACGAAATGTCATGTTAACACTGCAGTATTCCTTCCCTTCACAGATGTCCAGTATCTGAGTTAATCCAGTGACTTACCAATGTCAATCAAATTGTATTCTGATTTCCCCAACATCCGTGTCATTAGAATGTCTTTTCAATTATTCAGCATCCATGTCAATGCAGTATCCTCTGAATTTTCGACTTCAGTATTCTTACCGCTTATAATAATTCTGTTTCATTGATCGTTATTATGCTTACTTGAATATTGATTACTTCACAGGTCTTGCAAATCTGTTCGTGGCTGTTCCAAGTGTTCCGCTATTAATGTTTGCAACATTCATCTTCCAATTCCACATTACCCTTAGTTCTCAAGAAACCTTTTATATATTTATCCAACTTTCCACTCATTTCGTCCTTTTTATTCTTTAGTCTTTAGGAACAGGAAAATTTACAGAGATAGTTGTTTTTTCTTATATAAGTAGTAGATGATGAAAAGTGTAATAAGTAAATATTATCGAGCCTGCTTGTTGTATACAATTAAAAATAATGAATACTGAAATAATATTTATTTATGCAGAAATTCGATATTCAATGAGTGCACAATTTCTTTTTTTTTTTATATCTACTTCATTACTGTATTGTATATTTACGACTGGAAAGCAGATATCTGATTCTTTTCTTGGGTCACTAGAGCTATCAAATGTCCTTTCAAATTGTAAATTATTACTTGAAATTTAATTCTGTTATCTGGATGACATCACTCTTTCTTTGAAAAAAATAACTACCTCTAATATTAGGTCTCAAAATTGAATATTAACACGCATCCTCATGTTCCACGAATAATCCACAAGTATATTTATTATTTATTTTCACACCAGACTTTATAACTTAGAGCTCTGTGAGCCAACTCAGAAAAATCTCTTCAAATCTTTACTATTATCTTTTCACAATTGATTCTACGGTCGTCCTCAGGGCTCATTAGAGTACATGTTAAATAATCCTGCACATAAAAGAATGAAATCCTTATATTCTGCATTTCACAGGCTGTTGCTGTAGAATTTATAGAGGAAAACAATGTGCTATATTAATTTCAAGCATAAATTATGAAAACCTAGGAGTTCTACAAGTACAATCTGACCTTGTAGTACTTGTTGCTTTCTATGGCCATCGGTGACAAAATCCGTTTAGCAGACAGGCGTTCTGGTAAGCGTGATTAGAAATCTACCATAAATTAAAAGCATGATCTATCAATGGACACATGGACCTTCTTTTAACTGCCACATAATCCAGTGGGGTAGTTTGCCACAGGATTCCTACGATGGAATCTGGTGGTCATCGGCTTTTATTTGAACTGATGTCAGATGCGCTTAACCAGGTTTACTTGCTCACTATATGCTATACATGATTGAATATTTCCGCGCCATTGAACCAACATAATTTGGAGGCAATTGCTCAGTGAACCAACCACAGCATCCCGTAATGGGAATGATGATGATGATGATGATGAATCCTGTACTAGAATCACATTTTATATGGATTTGGATGCTTCTTCAGTATTCACTAATAAAATGAATTTAAACAAATTAAATTTCACAAAAGAGAGAAATATTACTATATCTATCTATCTATCTATCTATCTATCTATCTATCTATCTATCTATCTATCTCACACTCTCTCTCTCTATCTCTCTCTCTCTCTCTATATATATATATATATATTTCGAAATCATTCTTCTTTTTACCGTTACGTTGGGATTTTTATCTCGAAGTGCACATATATTTGAAGTTCTTAATTCTATTCTCATGAACAGAAAGAAATATAATTGACTTGAATGTTGCAATTTCCAGCATATGAAAACGGAACCCAGGATGTTACGTACAGATATACATTATAAATAGGTTTAGAGACACATACATACAAACATGGTAAGTGTCACTTCTTGAGAGAAAAAGGCCAGAACAAATTTCTTTCTTCTTTTTTATCACTTTCAGACTGACCGATCATGAGAGCGCGGGGGACACTTTAAACCATATTTACTTTTATAAACTTTTGCTCAATTCTCGCACCTGAAAGGGAGACACCTAAGCCCAACAGGCACGGCATCAAGGTGATGTCTTGTTAATACCGAAGTTGACATGAATACTTTATGGTAGAGAGTACAAGAAGGCACACAGATTAATTTCTCGCTTCTTTCAGTGGATCGAGCCTGATGAGACCTAAGGTGCCTTTGAAGACCTGCCTTTGAAAGAGCAAAATTACCACATAAACTACACACATGCTGTAAGGTTAGGATGGAAGGTAGCGCTTCAAGATTACCTTATCAAAGATTGCGTTTCACCATAGCATGTTCCACCTTGCTCTCTTCAAACGAAGGTCGACATTCAACCTCCAATTACAAGGTACCAACTGATATCCCAAGAGATTTGAGAGTGGTTTGGATGCAACATTTAAAGCGGTGTCTAGGTTTGTGTCTTGGATCATTACCTATAGATAGTTCATCATGAAAGGCTCGTTTAGTAAAAACTTGAGTTATCAATCTGCACCAAGTAACCTGTCCAGCACATTTGATTGAGGACGATTAGCTTCGCTATACTGAGGATAGTAGCTTTATCCAGAACTTCTGTGTCAGGTAAACAAGACTGGCATGAAATATTCAGAATTCTTCATACATACATATATACATGTATGCATGCATATCTATCTATATCTATCTATCTATCTATCTATCTATCTATCTATCTCTATTCCTGTCTGACTTTTTGTCTGTATCTATCTTATATATATATATATATATATATATATATATATATATATATATATATATATATATATTCAAAAAAAAGTTTGAAGCAACCCCAAAATTATCATCGGATGAAATTGACAAAAGACTGAAAGAAAATGAATATGGTCTTATATACATTGAAAAAAAAATGGAATCTATTACCAAACTTATACTTTGAGAAACTTTTGCCAGGAATGCAAAAAATGTTTATGCTTTAATCGGGGCGAAAGGAGGTTATTTTGACGAGACCAAAATTTAATCATAAAATGTTTTATTTCTTTTGGTCATAATGCAATTTCTACTAAAAAATCATATCTCACCTTTTTAGCCATGTATAATAAATTTCCCTTATATAAAATAGAAAACCAGTACATTTTTAGACCAAATGAAAAAAATGTCACTGTGTGGCCTCAAATATATATATATATATATATATATATATATATATATATATATATATATATATATATAATTTTACTTCCCATCTCGTTGCAAAAGGACTCACGCGTGTCTGAAAATTTTGATTTGTATGCTTTAATTTTGGTCAAATGGGCTGCAAATATACAATATTATTAGTCTAATTTTCAATATTGTAATTGTGTTGTTTTTATCTCTAGAATTTCTTTCGACGGATTTCTATATCTACATATTATAAGATGCATACATACCCAATCTTTGTTTATTATCATATATATATGTATGCGTGTGTGTGTGTGTGCGTGCGCGCGTGTGCGTGTGTGTGTGTGCGCGAGTGTGTGTATGTATGTTTGCGCGAGTGTGTGTATGTGTGTTCGCGCGTGTGCATGCATATGTGCGTGTATATTATATGAGACCGACACAAATTCTTTCCTCGGTGTTGAAAAAATATAATATTAAAAGGACAATTCTACACAAACCAAAGGGAGAAACCTATTTCTTTTTTCATCTTTTATATCACTAATATGCTCCAGACTCGTCGAAACGTATTACATGTTCTGACGGCACAGCGACACCCTGGGATTTGCCATCCCACGAGTGTCTTCGTTACAGAGTAACTGAAACGAATATAAACAAACATGTTTTCATAAAAAAAAATTGTTTATCTTAACCCCTGTGGTGTTCCAATGTACGTAAATCTTGTGGGAAAGCGACGTGGGGCGGTCTGGACTTTTATTTGATTTATAAGTTAAGAACGTTAGAACATTTGCAAATCAGCGGGTAGCATGTGGTATGTTGCTGCAAGTGTGATGAATATAGAAGTACCCTTTCGACATTTTTGAGTGGTTTGTATATTATGGATATATTTAACACAGTTAACCACATCTGAATGACAGTGATTTTGTCTGACCCATAGTAACAATCAAACATAGTGGAAAATTAATATTTTATTAAACCAGTTTGTTTAGCCATTTTAAAACAAATATTTTTGAAATGGGGTATTGTCAATATACTTTCTGTTATGGGGTCCACCCATTTTTAATACAAGTGCACTCGCCCAGTGTGTACTTGTACTACTGCCGGTGAATACCCAGAGAGGAAGTGACAGTGATACAGTGAGAGAGTGAGGTAATCGCTTTGTAGGAGTCACAGTTGCGAGCACGTAGACTCAGAAAGAAGTCCTACTTCAATACTGAATTTCCCAGACTATATATATATATTATTATTGTTACTAACCGTATTACCAATTGTATTATTACGTCAATACATTTATTTGTTATATTTCATTCCTGCGTTTGTCATTCATTTGAGACCGGATTTCATCCCGGAATCCACAACACTTTCATTTAATCTTATTTTTTTATCACCTTGATTATTATGGGCATCATTATAGATAAAAGTTTCAGCAAAGTACCCTCAGGATATCTCCGGGATTATGTTCATTTTGGCGGATATGGTTTATCTATTGATTATTGTGTTATTTTCTCTCTTTAATGCCATTTAATGGACATTCATGTTAACCCGTTGTTTCACAGGACTTCTAGATAACTGGAACTTATGATCGCCAATTATATCAGAATCAATAGACGTCAGGATAACCAAATATGGTAATTGAATCTGGATGAGCTAGCTTCATGAATCAATCCCACGAAACATCACGGTCCTCGATCAGGTTCAGAAGGTCATTAGGGTGGACTGTGTCATAACTTGTCAATGTAGGTAGCTGATTGGTTTAATGGCACCTACAATCGGGTGCTGAAGGCTATACTTAACAACTCTTGTTGACAAAATCCTACTAAATCATTGTTCTATGGATCCATCCCTAACATTGCTATAATTTTACGCGAACGAAGAATTCCCTTAGCTGGTCATTGCTGGCAAGCAAAACAGGAAATTGCGGGTTATCTACTTTGCAAATAAAGGCCTCCTAAATAAACCAATACTAAGGAAGTCTTAGAAATAGCTTTGATTGTTTATTCTGGTTATTCATTCTTGTACAATCGTTCAACAGCAACACAAACTTTTGGAATATATCATATATTAGGAAGACCGAATTTACATGGAATTAACGAGACATTGCGCGTTGCCTTTCAAATCCTACTCGATCCAAAAACATCTTTTGTCAGTAGTGATCATAAATAAAGGTTCATGATGAGAATCCAAAGCTGGAAATTCAGGAAATGACTGATTCCTAACAATTGTCAGGATCGCAAACAAAATAGAATCTAAAATTTCTATATTTGATAGTTTCAAAAACACATATTACTTCATATAAAAAGCAAGCTAGCAGTACAGCTAAAAATGACACAAGGAATCACAATGTAAATAAAGCTACCCCCTTACCAGACATTCTTCATTTGTTTCTCCATATGACAGACACATTTCTTTCTGTTAGTATTTTATCATTATCTGTATTTCCTTTCAGTTATGTCTCTTTTTATATAGCCTCAAGCTGATTAACGATAAGAGTCTGTTGAGGCATTTTTAGTTCTGCCGAATCAGTTGGTAGTTTGATACAATAATACATTTTCAGTACCAACAATCACAATAATAATAATCATAATAGAGGAGGATAAGGAGCATGAGAAGAAGAAGAAGAAGAAGAAGAAGAAGAAGTACTATCATTGAGAATGTCATTTTCAAACCCTATACCAAACAAGTAGTACAAAAATACACCTAGATGATATTATGTGATTTCTTTGTTCAAAACGATCATGTTATTGAAGCACGGAAATCTGACTTTATTGTGACAGGTAAAGAAAATAATAATAATAAAAAAACAAATTACTAATTTCGGTGTTCCATAGGATTCAAGAGCAGGCACTGAATAAACGGAACAGTGAAAAAAATGAAAAAAAAAGATCTGGCTAGGGAGGTGAAGATGCTATGAAACAATTCCTGTCGTATCAGATGCGCTTGGAACACCACCAAGAAAATTGCAAATGTGATTTAGTAAAAATCGTACTTGAGACCAAGGTTGTAGATGCTCCAGAAAAAAATGTCATCAATTAGTCTGCAAGTAGTATTGGAAAATCTCATGGATTGTGAAGATTTTTGTTGGACCCATGCCTCAAGAACAGAATTTCCATTGGCAATGTCAATGTGTGACATCCAAATAATATTAATAATAATAATAATAATAATAATAAGAAGAAGAAGAAGAATTGTTTTTTTTTTACACAATTGATCAGTGGAAAATATCATGAAGCTATTTCTGATCTTAGGTCGCGGGTTGGGACCCGGAAGTATTGTGTATACAACAAAAATAAAAGGAAGTAACAATCAAAGGAAGCGACAACAACAACGACAACAACAACAATAATAATAATAATAATAATAATAATAATAATAATAATAATGATGATGATAATGATAAGCATACTGTTAGCGTTTAGTAACTAATACTGATATATGTGATATATGATTTAGGATAATTGAAGCTACCGCCTGAAGTAAAATTATTACAGACAGTATGAAGTGTTGGCGAGGTAAAACTTTACATATAAGACGCAGAACGGTTTTTGCATCATAAAAAATACGTCGTATTTGCCAGCGAATCACTATATGTCCACATGTAGCTTATACTCTTGTAAGAAGCTCTACAGTATTCATGGTGGCTCTTCCCGCTCAAGCAGTTTAAGACTTCAACAAATTCCTAGAAGTAATAACCGAATTGAAAACAGAATTATTCTTTCATATGGGAATAAAAGTCTCTTGAGAGCCGTTTTAATATATTCATGATTGTAAAATAATTAATTCAACACGAATTAAAGACTTGTGACAAAAACGTTCGAATAAATCTAACAGACTTGTCGACTATCGGAGAAGTATAATTAAGATATTTTGAAAGCTATACTGCGAAACAACTATCCTTTTTTTCTGTGTGTCTTGTCCTTTAATGGCGTGTATTACTCGGTCTCAACACAATTTTGTATATTTGGTAGTTTTGAGTTATATTTGTCTCTTTAATTTCTCTTCCAAACCCTGTCATCCATTGCTCGTTGGGTATGTGACGCACTGTTGGCACCTTTTGCCATCAATACCTCAATATTTAAGTGGTACATTCTCCAAGCCAACGTTCTTCATTATGCGTCGAAGAATTTTTCTTTCTGATTCTATGCTTAAATGATCTTTTCGTTATTATTAAAAATAATCCTCATTGCTAGACTTCCCGTCATTACTTTGGTGGAAAAAATTATACATTTTCTAGTAAATATTCTTAAATATGTTATTTTTATTGTTTTGCTGGGACATTTCCAGATAGGATAATAGTTATCAAGATTGTCTCGCTAAATCATTTACGACTGAGTCGTAATTACAATCCTCACTGAGGGATCCTTACATTCGACATTTTGCCACAACTCTTAGTAAATAGCGATTGTCTAAGATCTTCGACGTAGTCTAATGTTAGCAAGTTTGTTTCGGTGGATCAATTACATCTGTGTAGTTAGTTCGATCTCTATTGAATGCTATCAGTTTTCAGTTTAATCTCAGCTATGCTTATTATATTCTAAATATTAACGATTGTTTGTATTCTTAAAATCAGAAAAGTTAAT